TACAAAAGTTACAGAAACAAAAAACTGAAGTAATGAAGTTACTAGCAATAAATTCTGTACTGTATATTATGTGATAGCCATATACATATAAAATTAGTACACGGTATGTAAGAAATACTTTCAAAGGACTAAAGAAATCATATAAGGGCATACATGAACATCACTTAATCTGGCTGAAGGTTGAACATCAGAAAAAGAATGCTGCACAGTAAGCAAAAATTACTACAGTTGTGTAATTAATTACTAATTTTTTATTCAGTGTGTACTTGCTAATCTTTTGAATCTTGTTTTTAATGCCTTTATGGCTTTTTAATACTGCTTTCTAATGGACATCTAATTTATGATCTTTGTATTATTATTAAAATCTTCTTTCTGGGGAAAGCTGCTTTTTCCCAGGTACATAAAATTTGTTTTAGATCTAAATCTCAGTTCGGCTTCAATCCCAGAATATCCTGATTTCTAAATGAAATTCAAAGCATCTCATATGGGTATCATGCCTAAAAAGCTTCAGTCTTCCAATCTTCACAGTGGATCCTGCACTGTATTAATCCCTGTTATAGTGCCATTTATTTCACTGTAGCTACATTTTTTATTTTAATATATGTGCTATGTTTGGTCTCAGTACTAAATATGATAAAGGGGTACTGTTGGGGGTTAGGTTGGGGTTTTTGGGGGGGTTTTTTGGTCGTGGGGGTTTTTTTTTGTTGTTGTTGTTTTTTTTTCTGGCCTGCTCGTGGAATTTTGACCCATTAGTTGCGGGAACAACCTAACTGTGGGTACTTAGCGGGTGCTCGACAAAAGACAAAGAGTGGCCGGGCCCTGGGGTGGAAGAGGGGCAGGAAAAAGGAGGGTGGGGACAGTTTGGCGGGCTTTTCTTCAGCTTCGGAGAAAGACATTTTTGGGCGCGGAGCTGTTACGGTGGAGAGAAGAGAATTTCGCCATCACCCAGACGGAGCTGCTGCTTCTTCTCCTTCTTCCCTCTTCGTTGGTTGGCCTCACACCCCCTGTCCTGCCGGGACGTGATGACCGTGCCAGGCTCCGCCGCGGAGCTGCTGATCCACCTCATCCACCGGCCCAGGATCTCAGCTCATCCCTGCTGATCCACCTCAGTCACCGGCCCAGGATCTCAGCTCATCCCTGCTGATACACCTCATCCACCGGCCCAGGATCTCAGCTCATCCCTGCTCTTCCAGCTGAGTGTTCCTCAGAGCCCTGCAGGAGCACCGGGACTGACTGCCCGAGGGGTTTGTGAAACAAAGCCTCTCCTCCATCCCATCTCAGCCGAGAAAGCTGTCCCGGGGTCCCTGGTTCTGTTTTCTTGTTAATGCTGTAGTTACTGTTGTTTGTTTGCCTGGTTATTCTAGTAAAGAACTGTTATTCCTATCCCCAGATCTCTGCCTAAAAGCCCCTTGATTTCAAAATTATAATAATTCGGAGGGAGGGGGTCTACATTCCTTCATCCCAAGGGAGGCTCCTGCCCTCCCTAGCAGACACCTGTCTTCTAGAACCGAGACAGATACTTAGAATGAAGTTCTGTATCGACAAAAGTTTCATTGTTTCAGACCTGGTCCCGGAGACTAACAACATCATATTACGTATATTACAGCTGGTTTTGAAATTGAAAAAAAATGTCTCAGGTAAGTTAAATAATTTCCCAGAAGGGACGGGGTATACAAACACATGTTTTTCATCACTCTTAATGAGTGCAGTAGTATAGGTGCCCTATTGTAAGGCTGTTTGCTATGGTAGGCACATCCTAACCATATACCTGTCCAAACTCCCATAGGTCTTCTAAGGTCCCAAGAGGCAAAGAAAAGTCTGTAGATTTTTCAAAGATTAAACAAAGGTTTCCACAGAGGAATTGGCTTTTATTCTTCATTTTTCCCTTTTTGAACTACTGACAATTGAAGTGCTTTGATCAAACTTTGAATGACTATTTACCTTCAGAGACTAACTAGCTGGAGCACTTCAGCTCCAAAAGCTTCAGAAAATTGCGAAAAGCACCAAATAGAGACTTTAATGTTGCATAATGGTTTTCATTCTACGAGAGAGATTGCAGATGGCTCATCAGAGATCTCTTTGTCAATTACTTCTGGAAACCACTTTCTTTCCTACGTATCAGAACTAAGTATATTTTGTGTATATTTATCATAGAGGCCGACTTTAGAGTCTGTTTCTATTACAGATCATAAATTTCCTTCATTGATCATTCAGTTTCATGCCTGTTGTTCAAAAAAATTAGTTTTTCAAACAGTTCTCTTACAATAAATATACCATTTTTATTATCATGCAAGCACCTTTTGAGGCAGAAACACAAGACCAGTCCTAACACTTTTCTGTTTAGGGGAATCTGTTGGAGTCACAGTGCAAGTTCTCTAATTCTTTGTTGTATAGTTGTTCAGCTGAGTATCTCTTGACCAGCAGTCCAATTCCTGACTAAAACTGGAAGTCGGGCTTTGTATGTCTCTTCTAACAGAAGAGTATCTGTAAACTGTCTGAGATCACAGTCAGGGTCAGAAAGAAAGACAGCACACACTGGAAAAATAGAACAGCTCTTAGCTCTCAGCACATCAAAGCACAGAGATTTGTCTCAGAAGGCTGTTGGCAATTTGTAAAATGTCAGGTTATTTCAGGTGCCTCACTGAAATGTGCAGCTAGGTTGACAAGTGAATGCAGGTAAGACATGAGGAAAAAATCTTTAAGAGTGAACAGACTGTGCCAAAAAGAAAAAGAAAAAAGGGTTATTTAGTATCTAGATGGATGCAAACACAAAATCAGGGTGCCTTGTGCCAAGGAGCAGAGGAAAGGAAACCAGGAAAATACATAGCAACACAAGTTGCTTCAATCAGTAAAGGCTTTCGTAAATATTTCTTTTTCTCTTCTTTCTTTTCTATTTTTCATTTTTGCTGTATAAAAAGATGTTGATTTTTAATACCCTGCTCTAAACACTGCCGGCTGCCAATTATATTGATTGTGTTAGGTTAGATTTATTGTAGGCCCCATGGCAGATGTGAGAAACCTGGAAGCATGACATGTTTTGGTTAATGGATAGATTATGGTAAAAAAAGTAGTCAAATTATCTGGAAAACACTGTTTGAATGCGGCAGGTGGGGAACTGCATCTATAAGGAATTGTATCACAAAGTTACAACAGTTAAGACATAAAGTTTCTGTCTTGACCAGGAAGTAGAAGGTTAAGTCTTGATTCCAAACAAACAGCACAGAAAGATTGTCATTGTTTAATCCCATCTCACAACCAAGCACCACACAACCACTTCCTCACTTCTCCACTAGCAGGATCTGTGGCAGAGTCAGAAGGGTGAAAGTTAGAAAACATGGGCTGAGATTCAGACAGTTTAATAGAAAAAGCAAAGGCTGCAAGCATGCTTTTGCATGCAAGCAAAGTAAAATAAGGAATTTATTCGCTGCTTCCCATGGACAGGCAGGTGTTCAGCCGTCCCCAGGAGAGCTGGACTCCATCAAAAGTCACGGTTACTCAGGAAGACAAACAGTGTAATTCCAAATGCTCCCTCTTCTTCTTCTGCTCAGTTTATATATTGGGCATGATGTCACATGGTCGGGAATACCTCTTTGGTCAGTTTGGGTCACTGTCTGGCTGTGTCTTGTCCCAGCCTCCCAAGCAGCCCCAGTCCCCTCACCAGAATAAAAAGTTCTTAAGAGAAATTTGTGGCTGAACTTCGTTTTATATCTTCATTCCAAGTATGCCACTAGAATTTGTCTCTCATAAATGTAATGCTAACCATAGCCACAAACTGACCCTGATATTCTTACATGAAGATCCCAAGTCATAGCCAAGACAAAGTCCTTTCACAGCCCAAATTTTCCCTTAACAGTCCATATGCAGTCCCTCTTCACTAGGCCCCTGTGTTTTGTTGCCTTCTTGTAGGCCTATCTGTGAGTAAGTAACCAGACCCTTAAACCATAACAGCTCTGCCCTCAGCCGAGCAAGCCCTCACATAAGAATTTTGAAGCTGAGCAAGCTTTCAACTTACCCCTTTCCTCTCAAACATGGGAGCTTCAACAGTGTGTCTGTGTATGCACAAACAGCTCATGCCAAGCTCACCTGCTCACGCCAAGAGCTGATAACTGTAAGTGCATGGTAAGTGTACTCCCCAAGAAGGATTCACATTAAAGAGGACATTGAGGTGCCGGAGTGTGTCCAGTGAAGGGCAACAAGGCTGGTGAAAGGACTAAAAAATGTGTCATATGAGGAAAAACCAAGGGAGCTGGGTTTGTTTAGTCTCAAGAAGAGGAGTCTCAGAGGTCATTGTACTGCTCTTAATAATGAGGAAAGGAAGGTGCCAGATGGGAGCTGGTCTCTCATATCGTGCCTGCAGGACTACACTGAAGCAGGGAACATTCAGATTACATATTAATTTTTCTTTTCTCCGTTATTAGGGTGGTCAAGCATTGAGTCACCTTGAGATGTCCTTGAGGTGATTGGGTCTGATTTATGCTGATAAATTTAGTAGTTTAGGGATTACAGTGGGAGTGCTGGATAGTCAGCTGGTGGACTGCATGATCTTAAAGATCTCTTCCAACATTGATTCCACGATTTTGCTTCTGTCGACCTTCAGGGAGCAACATTTCAGTACGTTCGTAAACCAAGATTAATCCTAGCATGCCTATAATCCATGTTGGCCAAATCCTAGTATCTAGCCAAATACAATAGTTTGGACACACTTCTGAACAGTAGCTCAATTACAGTCAGCCAGTAACTACAGAAAGCAAACCAGCTACACTATCATGTATCTTCCGGCCTCTTCCATGATCGGGTGCGGGGGAAGCACTGCGACTCTCACAGCCACCTCCCAACCATCCCTCACGGAGGCCGGGCGAGAGCCGCCCCACTCCCGGAGCCGCCCCGCGCATGCGTCCCACCGCCCTGCGTATGCGTCCCGCCGCCCCGCTAGGGGGCGTGCGCTCGGGAAGGCGGCCGCGCAGTGACGCAGGAGCTGGCGGAAGCGATTCCGGCCGCACCCCCGCCGCTTCCGTCCGCATCCCGGCCGCTTCCTGCGGCGTCTCTGCACCGGGCACGGGATAGTGCTCCGCTGCAGGAGCTGGTGTCTGCTTCCTGGCCGGCACGGTGCTACCCGCAGGCCCGTCCCGCCTGCCTCCGCTCAGGCTCTACGTGAGTGTCCTGTGGGGGTGTCCCTCATGGACGTGACAGGCAGAGGCATCGGGGGGACCGGGCTCTGGCCCCAGGGGTGGCGATGGGCCCGGCCGCTTCTCTCGGCACGGGGGCTGGGGACTGGCGGGCTTCCGTGCACCCGGGCTTACCTGCAGTCGTTTAGCTCTGTGGGAAATATATGCTTGTTTGGAGACAGTGCCCACGGGGCAAAGGTATCTGAACTATAAGTTATGAAACTTGTTTAGGAGAGCCTGGCAATCCCTGGCGAGGTAACCAGTGCTGAAAATCACGGTAAAGGTCGTTGTCGCTGTTGTGAGGCAGCAATGTTGCTGCGTTGTTTTGGGTTAGGGAAGGTAACTCCTCCATTGCTTGTATTCTTGGTGTTTACAGCTTTAAAGGCTAGACCGAACGTGTGTTTCTTCTGCGCCTAACGCTTGAATTCTCATTCATCATTCTGTTACTAGCTAATTGTATCGATAAACTGCTTACGTATACGGTGTGGTGTGGAGAGCGCCTGGGCTGCTCAGAGGAGAATGAGGCATGTTAACAGTTGTTCTGTCTACTAGAAATGGAAAAGTTTGGACAGTACATAAATACTCATTCAGACTAAGTGTCAAGGGACTTACTTGTTACGCAACACGGTGCCATTTCTTCGGCAAAACTGAAAGTGAACATCCAGATAGTAACTTCCATTAATGTGTAATGCTTTCCCTCACCCATCCCATCAAATGGGGAAAAAAAAGGAAGAACTCTCATACCTTTATCTTAGAGCTAGTGCAGCAATGTCCATGTATTTACTATGCATTAGTGTGGGTTGTTATCACAGGAAATAAGGAGTAAAGCCAAACCCAACCATATTTACTCCTCATTATTCATTTTCCTATACCCTGTGCTAAGGCTGCCTGCAGTGACAGTCGGAGCTATCTGGTATTCTAGTTGTACCAGAATAAATTTTAAGTTTAAAAGATAGTAGACCTATATTTTTCTATGGCAGTCTGTTCAGTAAAATAATACTATAGATGTATAGTAGTCTCAAAGCATGATTATATTAATTGTAAAGTCATCATTTGGCTGCTTTTTTTACATGTCATGTTGAGAAAAAATACTAACTTCATGACATAACATGTAGTTCATAATTAGCTGCATCTTCACGCTCTTAGGATGTATTCAAGGGTTTCTTTCCATATATTGTGAACCTCATTGTGGAATGTTTCAAATATGAAACAAGTTCCACTCTTACGTGGTACTTTTCCCTGAGATGAAAACAGTTATATTTTGTGACATATCATTTTTTTAAAAATTAAACTTAAAATTGAGGGTAATCATAAAAATTGACTTTTAGGCATAAATAAAGTGAACAGTAATTTTGAAACTTCAGACTATGCTGTATTTCTATTTAGTGTCTTGTATTGAAAATAAATCCTGTGATCACCATTCTCTTAAGGAATTCCTGAAAGTATATTCTAGCTTGAATTTTTAAACCAAGAGCTTAAAAGGTAAGCAGTATTTCTTTTTGCCTGTTTTCAATTTATTTATTTTTCTTTTCTTTTTTTTTTTTTTTTTTTAGCTAAAAGGATACATGTTCACTTCAAGTAGAAAGGAGCATGTTCCCAAATTCTTCCAACTTGGGTCGTCCACCCTTCTCTCCAAAATATCAACAGCAGAGTACTTTCTTCACTAAAATTCCTCTAAATATACCTCCTACTCTTCTTTCTCACCAGCAAATTATTGTTCCTCCATTTCATTTTCGCAGTGCAGTGTAAGTACAGTAAGATTTGGTAGTAGGGATTGGGTCTGAAAGAAATACTTCTGATGGTTTTCACTGTTTTTACATTGAACTGCATTGAACTTCACAAAACATGAAAATGTCATGCATATAAAAAAGAGCTACATAATTTCTGTTATGGACTCACACATATTAATGCTCGCCTGCAGTGTGCATCATGCATGAGATGAAATTGCACTGCTTAGAGTTGTTAATCCACAGTTTCGTTTTAAAGATCTTCAATCATATTTGTTTATTGGCGAGAACAAGGGGGAGATGAGAAGGGGAAGAAACTATTATTTTTGGGTCTATATTTGAAGAAACTGTAGTTTTCTTTAGGCTTTTGAATTTGACAGTTCCTTAAGTTAATTCATTTGCTAACCCCTTCTTACACATATGCTGTCAAGAATGAGAAGTTTCTGTTTTTAATGAAATACATGTTATAAACAGAAATATATCTTCATGTTGAATAGAAAAGATGTATTCCTTCTAAGAAAAAGAAAAAAAGACAGGACTTGTAGAGTTTAATATTCAGTTAACAATAACAACCAACCCATAAAAAGCATCTTGGTTATCTTATGAATAATAGTTGTGGACTGTAGTCTTTCTAGAACTCTTTTGAGTGGGAACATTGAAGCCGCTCCAGCTGTTACTCCAGTTGTTACACTGCAACCAATGACTTATGGAAGTGTTAGTCCTGTGTCTACATCAGATGCCCTGACATCATTTCAAGGAAGAAAGTAAGTTCTTTGTATGTGTGTGACTAATACTGATTGTAATGAATGCATTGTGAAGCTTGCCTAATATCAATTTCTTATGCAATTTGAGTTATGCTAGAAATTCAGTACTGAATACTTTTTTTCTTTTTGGTGGAAACAGGCCATGCATTGGCTCTTTAAAGCATTGTACCTGTTTGAGCATCTTAGTACTCAGGAGTGACTTCCTGTACCTAGGTTTTCTCTTCCAGCAGCTGTAGCCTTGCAGAAATGATTTTAAGTGATTTATTGTAATGCTGCAATGGATTGTAGTCTGTGTGGGCTGGACTTTAAGCTGGTTTGTGTCAACAAATCTTCTTTTCCTGTTAATTTGTCAAATTCAGAACAAGAGTGCACTCTGAAGGTTTTACGGGAATTGTCATGTTTTCCTGATGACACATTAGGTGTTTTTCCTAGTTTTTTTTACTATGTGATGTATTATTTTTCAAATACAAGGTGTTAAATTCAAGCATGTCCAAGTTCTTTTTTTTTTAAGAGGATTGTATGGAAACCTAGTTTTTGTAGGTGGGTTTGTGTTTATATTGACTTGAATGTACATTACTACCTTTGTTATTTTAGTTGACACATAAAGGAAAATTTTGCATAAATGTAGGATTTAATGTTCTGTTAATACTTTAAGGAAAAAGAATTCTCTTTATTAGTTCAGATATGCTAGTTGATACATGTTTCTAATAATTGTGGGAATCAACTAATTGGAAGGAGGTTCTATGTAGTCTGTCTTCAGTAGTATCTCCTGTGCTATTTCTCTACCAAATCTAACATGAAAAAATAGGCACAATTAAATATATGCTGATAAGTTATAAGTGAGTGTGTAATTAATCGAAGAAGTTGTTCCTGGTTTCATGCTGTGTGTGTATTTTCCTCTTGAGCAGCCTGTTCTATGAAAAAACTATGCTATGTTGGAGGATTTGCACTCAGCTTAAACAAACTTGTCATTTGGGTTTCAGTTGCTTAAGTGCAGATACTTGCCTTAAAGAATCACATCAATCCAATTCTAGGGTAGCTTCATTTCTACAATTTTATGTTCTCTTTTCCCATTCCAGGTTTTTTTCACATAGTACCTAGGCTGGGCATGGCTGTTCTGTAGCATACATGGGCTTAGCAAAGCAGTTACGTCATTAAGTGTTTGTATTTGAACTTTATAGAAATTGTCTTTTAGTCATAAGTTGGAGCTTGTAAATTAGAGGAATTACACTGTGTCTCTCTCTAGGAGACAAAGTCAACAGAGTCTTCCAGATGATGCCAAACGGCAGCGGATTCATTCACGTGATTCTGACACAGCTGTAGTTACCCAAGCAGTGCCTTTACCAGAAGAACACAGACGCTCCTTCCCAGCATCAGTTTCAGTTCTGTCTCCAGTGTTGCATGCCGGTGGCTCACCTGCCTTAATTGGATATGTCCCTCCTTTGCAAGATACTTTGTTTCTGGACCCTACAGAAACCACGCTCCCTGTTGCCAATGACAAGGTAATGACTTTCTGTGTCTGTGCTTTACTTCTGTCTTCTGAGTAGGCAGAATCCAGAGGTGCTGTGGGAGACCACAAACATCTCTACCAGGATTTTTGACAGTATCATGAAATATCTATTGGTAAGCTGGCATTAGAAGTGTCAATAAGAGTAGCTGCCACTGTAGTTCTATATCACCTCCTTGTCTGTGCTTGAGTTTAAAACACTTTTATGGAGGCAGGGGAAGTCATGAGGTATTGTTTCCTTGTGTTGTCTATTTACATCCTAATGTCAGGAAACCTACATGTCTTCTCTAGGAAGTAAAATTTGGAGAAATAGTCCATTTCTCATATGATACCAAGTGGGGAGAATCCTGACTAAAAAAACTGTACTGTAGTAATATGAAGGAAGCCCATTCTGAATAAATGATGTATTTGGCCTGTAAATATGTTCGCTACCTCTTTTCAAGAAAGCATAACAGTTACTGTCATAGCTGTTCTGGAATATAGAAGAGAATGGAATATAGTTTAGAACTGTTTCTGGTTCTGCACCCACATGACAGAAGGGTTTTGGATTGTTTTAGTGTAAATATGCCTGTTGATTATAGCATGTAAAGTTTTGTGAAAGGGAAACAGTCAATACCGCCTTCCAACAAAGATCTGACTTCTTCACTAATTTTTATGTAGGATTTTCTTCATTAAGTTTTATGTAGGATAAAAAAGAAAGCTAATTTAAATCAGGGTTTTTAATTATTTTTTTTTCTCTCTATTGCTGGTAGGCAAACTGTTGACATTAAAGTCAGCAGAAGATGTCTCTGGTTATTCACTACTTATTCCCTGAAATGCTGCATATACTGATGATGCAAAAATAATTTTCTCGGGTCTGACATTTTATAACAAATTGAGCAAATTTAAATTTAAAATCTTAGCAGAAATTTCTTTACGTAACTATTCACTCTGAATTGAAGTGCAGTAAAACTGTAGACAGTAGAGTAGGTCATGTGAAATGGTGCTGGGTTTTGCATTAAAAAAACCCAGCCTTCTGTGTTTGATGTAGTTGCATCTCTGACAGAAAAGAATGTTCACTTTGCTGTGTCTTTACTTTTTATATGTATGTTTCCAGTTAAGTCAACAGGTTTTGGAGTTGTTTCAGGCATGTCGGCAACAGGCCTCTGATTTGGACAGAAAAGAGCTCTGTAGAACAGAACTCCAGAGAGAAATTCAGCTAATTTTTCCACGTATGTTTTGAATTTGATTACTTAATATCAGTTTGCATGTTCTTCAAGTCTGTGATTCTTCCTTCCTCTCAAACTGTAATGTGTCACATCATGTTTATTTTTTGTTACTCTTCTGTTACAGAGAGCAGACTTTTTTTGGTTGGGTCATCACTGAATGGATTTGGCACTCGTACCAGTGATGGTGATTTGTGCCTGGTTGTTAAAGAAGAACCAGTAAGTAATTTTAAACATGCATAATTCCAGCAAAGTCTGGTTTTATGTGTGTGCTATTAAAAGGCTGGATCCCAAAATGATAAAAAAATGCTCAAATCTTTTTTGATGATTTAATACCATAGTTTTGCATTCATAATAGCTACAAACTCTGAGCCCAGTAATGTGCAGATAAGAATTTAATCCTGTCAACCTAAGAAAACTTATTTTTGAAGTTCCACCTTCAATTCATAAGTGAAAAAATACAGCAAAAAGGAAGCAGATGCCTAGAATGAGGAAGGAAGCTGTTCAGAGAACTCTTTTGGATCTAGAAACGACTTCTAATAAATAAAATTTCTTATTATTTAGATTCATAGTTACCAATTTTAGTGATCCAGCGTAAAAATGTATTTAGTATCTTAAGTATTTTTACTGAGAAAAGATGTTATGAGTAGAAATTAGGTTAACAGAAAGGATATCTAAAAGAAATTTAAATAGACCATAATCTTGAAAGAATTGAAGCATCATTTAAAGGGAAGAAGAAGACATTTTTGTATAAATGGGGCTACGTTTTCATCTCTGTCTGTGAGTTTTGAATGTCTGATAATCACATTGCATATTGAGTATGGATTGTTCTGTCTGACATTTCACATTTACTGTGAAAAATGTGTATGTAGGCTGTAGAATGTGTTGGTGTACATGTTCATGTATTATTCTGAGAGCTAATTCAATTTTAAAAGCAAAGCATGCTTGCTTTGAACATTCAAATGAGAGATAACAACTTTTTTCATTAATTTTAATACCACATTTCAGGTGAATCAGAAGACTGAAGCAAGACGTATACTCAGCATAGTCCAAAAACTCTTCAGTACTAAACTTTGTAAGTTACCGTCTAAAGTGAGGTGGTAAGATTTTTGGCAGTTCTTGAAGAAGTATTGGTACTCAGTTGCAGCTAATGTATGTATCTGTGTCCTGTCTAGGTTCTAATTACAGTACTCTTTGAAGAAAAGCTATGAATATTTATTAATGTTACTTGATGCTGATGAATGGTAATTAGAAAAACAACAGTTTTTCTTAAAAACTAGTGGACTTAAGTAATGAGTAATATCTCATATGACTTTTGAGTTGTGGAACACAAAGAGAAGGGAGTAAATTTCTGTTTGGGAAACCTCTGTTGGTGAACTCTTGCTAATAGCTTAGATTGCAGTGTCTTCCTGGCAAAAATGCTCTTAAGAATTTGGAACAGAAGATGTCACTCATAGTAGACTGTGTAGAATTGTTTTTTTTCTTTTGAGAAGTAATTAACTTAGATGCCTAATGAAGAAAGTAATGAATGTTGATAATACTAGCACATACAGATAAAACATGTAAATTCATAGTTTCTATAGCTTATTGTTTGGACTCCCTTCAGATTAAGAACTCATGTGGGCATTTCTTGACTTAAATGTGAAAGCCTTCTACTTCAAAGAGGCTTATGTATCATCCTTTGAATTATAAAATACCCTGACATTTACTAATATCAGTGACTCTATCACTCTGCATCCCAGACTTGGAATAGTTTTTTTGATGCTACTCCTTAGAGTGATGTTCTGAACAGTCCTGAAGTGCTAAAAGGAACAAACTCTTGCCTTTTTCCCAACCTGGAAATGAAACTCAAGATAATTTTTGTAAGGAGGTAATATAAAAAGGGATCTTTATTTGGAGGCCTCCAGGAGCAGTTACGGAAAGATGTTCACAGAAGCCCATACCCCCTGCAGGGGTGAGTACATTTTTATAGGGTTTAGAAAATTAGCATAATTAATAAAAAGCACCAATTAGGAGGATGAGTGGTGATGCAATTCCTCCCCCTAGTTTAAGCCCCTTCTCTGGAGCTCCCCCTTCACCAGCTGTACTTTGTCCATGAGAATGTATCTCAAAGAGTTGTTCTCAGCCTTGGTTCCCAGGAAGAGACAAGATAGTACAGAGCCTTGTACCTCCTGGGGTTGGAGCTGTGGAATTTGTTTTGTCTTTCTGCTTAGGGAAAGGCCATGGAAAAGTACTGGGAAAACTAGTCTCTAGTAACAATGGACTACAGAGTTACAAATATGTGTGTGAAGAATACAGAGAATATAGAAAAAAGGCAAAACCTAAATGGTATCATCATAAATTTAAATGCAGACTGCAAAATTTCTACATTGGCAAGCATGCATGCACAGATTTTAACAGCTGTTGTGGAAGAAAGACTTGATACATCTATTGCTGAATAGGCAGCTGATATTTAATGCTTTTTACTACTGTTTATTGACATTTGCATAAGTTTGAAAATTAATCTGGGTTTGTCTATGGTGCAGCTCCAGTGTTTTCTGACAGCACAGTGTTAAAATAGATGTGTTTTCAGGGATCAAGAAGCTTCTAAATGAGCAATCTTTTTCAAGAGCTTATGTTCTGTGTCAATGTGTGACAAAATCAAGTTTGTTTATCAGAAAGGTATGATGATTATGTGCAAGTGATCTCCAAAAGTGCCTTTTCCCATTTTTGATGCTTTCATCATTCTCTGATACCTTTCAAGTTATCATTTGGATCACCATGCATTTGGTCAGTTTGATTTAATTAAAGTATTTCCTGGAAGGTAAGGCAGGACAAAGCATTGCTGAGATACCACTCCTGCCAGGTGTTCTTACTTGTGATATGTAGACCCCTTATGTCATCTCTTCTGAATCTTAACATCATTGTGGCATTAATTCCTGTACCTAGCAATCTGTCTTGTATCTTTGTATGGATGTTTTGTGAATAGAACTAACAGACAAAAATTGGTTGAAAATATTCAAAACCAAAAGGCTTTGGCACATTGTTCTTCGTGCTTAAATTTAGCTAGTGTACTAGCTGTGGCTCAACTATGCCAACTATGCCAACTAAGGCTTAGTACTTCTGGAACAAGAGGTGTCCTGGTTTCAGGTGAGATAGTTAATATTCTTCTTAGTACCTGGTGCAGTGCTGTGGTTTGGATTTAATATGAGAAAAATGCTGGTAACACACTGAAGTTTTAGTTGTTGCTCAGTAGTGCTTACCATAAATTGAGGACAGCCTGTCTACCTAAAATGTATGAAGCTGCTTCTGATAATTATTTTTGAGTTTTGTGCTGCCCTGTTAGCATGGATGTTACTATCCTATGATTTTAAGGTAATACCTCTTCGATAATATTAGTTAAGTATTCCTTTCTTTCTTCTGTAGAAGAGAGACTGCAGCATGTTCTCAACAAGTGTGTGAGCAGTCATATAACTTACTGTTGCTTCACATGAGAAATAAACATAGTTTGGGCCAAACATTAAAGCTAGCAAAGTGTGTGCCAAAATGTAAGAGAAACAATAAGAGCTAGAAAATATAAGATGCTATTTAAAATAAGTTCTTACTCTGGTTTTGTGAAAGAGTTAAAGGACAAAAATAAATAAGGAGGATATTTGTGACGTAGGTAGAGTTTTAGAACTTTTTTAACCTTTTTCCAGATCACTTTGGTTCAGAAACTTGAGAGAAGTTTTTCCAATCTGTGCCTCTCACAACATCTCCCTCTTTGTTCTTGCACTCTGCAACGTTCCTGTGCATTCCTATATGAGGACAGTAAGAGTGTGATTCTGTGCTTCATTTCCCTTAATTCTATGATGGATAAATGAAAAAGCATTCCAAGTGCAAATTAGATCAGTCCCTTTCACAATTTGTTTCGCCTTCAGAACTTTAAATACCATCTCTTTTATCCTTCATATAGAAGAATTAGGTTAGATTAGGAGATTTGGGAGGTGGATTCAAATTTGTGTAACCTCTAGCTTATTTCAGTTTCAGGTTTGTAAAAGCTAACAAGTGTGAGCAAGGAATTTTAGTCCATCAGATTCTAAGTCTTGTAGCAGAGGCTTTTTTGTGTTGTCCTCTGCATCTAGAGTACAGGCTGAAATGAAAATGCTGTTTTTGAATAGTCTAATCACAGAAAAAAGTGTGGAAAAGCTTCTGATATTTTATTTACTGGTTTTGTGGGGCATGTTAGTCTTAAAGGTATGTATTTTATTTCTCCTAGAAAAGAGAGATGTGGGATAGCGAACATATAATCCGTGCCAGAGGCTAGCTGATCCTGTATAACTTCTTGGCTTATTTTTTCAGATACTTGGAAATGTATTTTTTACAAGATTAGCTGACATTCCCAGAACTGTGTGCTAAAGTCAATGACTTTAGAAATGTGAAGCATTAAATTGGGGTGATAACTGAAGAGGTTATATCTAAACTACTGAGAGTAAATGTCAGGCTGATTGCTCACTTCAGATTCATCTGTGTGGGATTCATTTGAAAAACACCTTGATAGTATTATGTTGAATGGTGTTTGCTGTCTGCATAAATAACAAAGAGGACATTTTCCCTTAGATTTATAGAGAGGTACAGTAGCATTGAGGCTAGGGTATCAGGGTGGAATCCGCCTAATGCTGGTCTAATGGGAAAAGTGGAACAGCTTGGACAAACAAAGGAATTTGAACTCAATTGAATGACTTTGAAGGACTGTGCAGATCATTGAGTGAATTCCAAAAAATCAGCATTTATTTCATCCTGTGGTGGATTGCACCTTCCTATATTCTTCATGAATGTGGATTCAGACTTCTGTGTTGTCCAGTTTCTCCTTATATAATATAACTAAATCAGTGAGAGCAGGCTACATGCCCAGGATGCCAAAGATCTTTCTGGCATATACCATGTCTGGGATTAATATTCTGTACAATTGCTTAATCTTTCATCCTGTAAAAGAAGAGAGGGAATTAAGTTCTTCAGTCTGAAATTCTGCATGAATAAGTTATATATGAAACCAGTGCTTAGTCTTCTTTGAAGCCATAATATTAATTTCTGCTAAGCTGAAGTGGTGTTCATGACCTTATCATAGACATGCCCAAAACTGTGGAGTAGCTTTTTAGATTTCTTTTCACATGTTTTGGTATAGTCTCTCTGGTCGTAGCTTTCATGATCACAAAGTCAGTTTACTAAGGCATTTATTCAGCCTGTACATATTTCAGAATTCCACATCCTGTATTTGTGACTGTTTCTTCCGTTGTATGTATATATAAGGTACAATATAGATTCTGCTAGCAGCATCATTGGTCTCAAGTCAAGAAAGAGGATACCAGCAGGAAGTTATCGCCTTCTAACTTCCTTTTATCTCTTCTGTCTTCCTGGCTGCTTTTTACCGCCCTGTGAAACAGATTGGGACTATGTTTTGGGCTGTATCTTTTTTCCTTAGCCAACTAATTTGACACAAACATCCATTAAATGTAGGGAGGCATTTGTAGACAAGGATGTGTTTGGAAGTAGATTGTCACTAGAATGAGTTCAGTTAACATCTGAAGACATTGGGAAGGGTCATAGTGAGGAAAGTTGAATTACTGTGGCATACAAATAGACATTGCTGACCATGTGTTAGTGCACTGGGAATCTTTGTCTTATATTTGGTAGTGAAAAGAGAGGAGGCAGAGAACTATGCGTGCTTTAGACTCATTTTAAAAATGTTCTGGGATGCTGGAGGAAAAATTCCTGGATGTGTCTGAAGGTCCAGCTAGAAAGAGAGGATGCTTGTATTAATAAGCAGACATTGAACATGATTTGAAGTTGTTAATTTAAGGTTCTCCCATTAACATCAGTAAATTGGTAAGATTATCTTTTTTTCTGAGTGCCAGTCTGTGTGTTGCTTAGGCTGGTGCAATGCAATAAAATCCAGATGAAAGATTGCCTCAGGTCAAATCTGTCTGAACATGCATAGCCACAAAACATTTTTAGAGTCTCAGAAAAAAAAAAAAAAAGAAAAAGGATATTTTTTAAAATTATTTCACAGCAGTGTTCCACCAGATCTGAATTTGTCATCCAAAAGCAATGGAGATGATGCTGTTTAATCTAAGTGGCTATTCAGCTTATAGAAGTACCTAGCTGGTTTTTTTTGAGGGAAAGAAAAAAATCAAATTTTATTCAAGGTTATTTTTAGTTTATATTATTCGTACTGTGCATGCTTATTTATGCTAATCTGAGGTTGATTTATAGAAGCAGTGGGAAAATATTTTGGATATTTAAATATTTTGGAAAATATTGTTGGATATCGACAAATTCAAGTGGCCCTGGATTTGGCAACAGAAGTAATTACTAAAATCATGCCTTTTGCCCAAATTCATGTCATGTAACCTACAGGCTCTACTTTTCTTTCTTTTCCATTACTTTCTTGGTCACGGTATTCATTCAGGATTATGGAAAACTACTGAATATAGGCTGAGGTATTATGAAGTCTAGGGAAATCACAATTACATGGCTGATGCAACAGTTTTGGGGAGCTGAGTGTGAAGGGTGCATTTGGTGGCTCCATGTGAGTGCCTGAGCTTAGTATTTGTGAGTTTGTATGGTATGGCATTGAGCAGTGTAGATAATCATTTGATAATCATAATCAATGTGGATTTATTGCATGTCCTATCATTATTAAAACAAAAGACAGATAAAGCTTATCCCATCTTTGATAGAAAGCATTGTCCTCTTTTCAGTGGCATTTCCTGGTATGTACTTTATCATTCAAATTAACAGTTTTCAAAACAAGTTTTAAGCTTATCATTAGCTTAAAACTAATTATCATCCTGGTTGGATCTGTTCACAGTCCTTTATTTTTGTACCTTATAACTATTCAGGATTTGTATTACAAGTAGTAAAGCATTGTAGTACTGCATTCCTTATTTTCAAATTTCTGGAATATTTCCCTCAGAAAAGTCTTCTACTCTATGTTCTGCTTACCTCTTCTCTAATGTTTAGTGGGGGGGCTTTTCACCTGCTTTCACTGGTTGTTTTTTTGCTACAGTTGCTAAAGGTTATTTAGTTTGAGCACAACCCTGCTACATTTAATAAACTACTGTTTGCAATAAATCAGTCTCTAAGATTCTATTACAGGATCTTCTGTTAAGGTCTACATCTTGCATGAAACTTAATTGCATATTTTTATCCCTTTCAGCAAGCTACATTGAGCGACCTCAGCTGATCAGAGCAAAAGTGCCAATAGTGAAATTCAGGGATAAAGTCAGGCAAGTATCCTATTCAGCCTAATCTGTTAGACTTTGACATGAGGAAGTATTCTAATGTCCGTAGGAGTCGTCCCACTGTTATGTGTGTATTTGTGTAGTGCTGTAGTTGTATCACAAATTTGTACAGCTAACATGCCATGGCACTCAGCTTATTGCCTTGATGGTCTGAAGCACCTCTTGTGGTTGATGCTATTTGGTTCCTGTGATGTGAATTAGAAGCAGTACATATTTCTGTGGGTTGTTTGTACATTGTGGACTCCCAAGTTAACAAATGGTTTGACAAAAAAACAGTAGTAGGAAGAAAACAGTTGTGCAGTATAATTTTGCTTGCTGTGCAGGCATAACTATTGATTGAGCTGTACCAACAACACTAAAACAAACTAGTTTGTGGTGGTATTTTCTTGTATTCATTGTGTATTCATTATAAAGACCTACGAATAACTTAGAGGGACATACTAGGACAGATAATGATGTATTTTTTATTGTATGTGATAAAAGTAGTTGACAGAGGAAGAGGTCATGTAAACACTGATATATGATGACAGTCTGAGTAACATTCCTATCTTCCTGTGTTCATTGGCTTAGTTTTGTAACACTGATATGTATCATTTTCCTGTAGTAACATAGTTTCACTTTAATGTAGCTGTGTTAACCTGTCTATATGGTTCTAAAATTTTTGTCTTTTAAAAACAAATAAGCAAGCTTTTCTGGCTTCTCCCTATGAGAGCATGTCACAGCATGTTTCTATCACCATTTATCTTTATCATGGCTAGGTTCCTGCCCTGATAAAACTAAATCTATCATTTTTACAATTTGAATTAATCTATATAATCAGTTTAACCTTTTCTTAAATCTGAGATTATACACACTTGTTGGAGTTTTTGCTTTATACTTTTTTCTTAATTTACACCCAATCCTATGTTTACTTGTATGTAATTGCCTACCTTTTAAAAACTTGAATGTCATTTACTTTCTCTTCTAACAGTGCAGAAGGTTGTTTCTTCCATGCTTCCTGAAAGTATGGTACTTGTCAAGCTAAAGTTTGGGTTATTTGGATTAGCTACATATAGCAATACTAGTCTTTTCTTATATAAATGAAATTATAAATTCCTGGTGCAAATATTGAATGAGTTACGGGATTATAGCGATTTTTTTTTTTCCAATTTAAAATGAGAAAATAAACTTTAAAAAGAAGCCTTTAATATGGAACTGGATGGAAGTGATTGTGTGAGAAGATTGAAGTCTTTTTGTAAGCACTTATAGTCCATAGTACAGTCACTTTCAAAAAATAAGCCATGATAGTTATATACCTTACAGATAGGATTTAAAGAACTCTTTATTTCCTACTAAATCAAAGTATGATATTGTAAGACTAGAAGCAGCACATTATATTTTTGCAGAGTGAAAACCAGTCTTGTTCACCGTCTCATTTTCTGTATTGCTTTTGTGAAAGAGAAGAGTGATAGGGAATGTCACTATTTTGGGCTGGGATTTTTTTATTGCAGTTCATTTTTGTTTTGTTTTCTGTCTTTACAGTTCTCTTTCTCCTGCATAACCTGTCCCTCCATCCATGTTTTGTCTTTTTATTTAAGCATTTGTCTGTTTCCAGTCTCTTTCTGGCCTCTGGTTTTTCGTAGGCTCAGATGCACAAAAAAAGCATACTCACGCATTTTTTCAAAGAGGTCTTGAAAAATCAGTTGGATATCCTGTACCTAGTGCATTTAGCCTGTCTTTGCCAAAATTGGAAACTAAACATTACAAGCTTCCTGCAAAAGCTAGTTTTTGATGTCCAACTGCTGGGAGAAGGTGGTTGAATTCAGTGGGTGTTATCTCTTTATCTGGAGATGAAGATTCTAATGTGTTACCAATAACTGAAAAATATATATATTGTATATAACTGAAAATGGGTGTTTCCCCTTACTTTGACTCAGTGAATGAGAAAGCATTCAGTTTGTATTTGTTCTCTTACAACCTTTAAACTTGGGGGTTTGTAGTGCTGTAAAAGTAAGAGAAGAACCACTGTGCTTAAAGACTTAAGGTCTTTTTTTTGGGTAGTCTTTCCCAGGAAATTATTCTAATGCTGGTTGTGCTTTCCAACAAGCGTTTGATCAACTGTCAAGATATTTATACTACAGAAGATACAAAAACTTCCTCTTCTGCTACAGTTGGTGTGCAGTTGACGCTTTTTCTGTCCTTTAGTGCTTTTTAGTAGAACTTTGAGTCCAAGCAGTACAAAACATTTTTTACATTTCCACCACTGCAATAGCTATTAAACATGCAATAGAACTTGCTTCAATTGGCATCTGGTAAACAGTCTTCTTGTCAATTCGGATTAGTTGGAATTGCACATACAATCTTAACATTTTTTATTATATTTGCAGTTAATATTCTTATGGGTGTTCATGCTTATATTTACAACTGTGAAGTGGTGGCTGAAGCTTCTTTATTTTCTGTACTGTTACATACTGTACTCTTAAAACATATAAATGGTTATGCTTGATACTAACTCAGGTTTAAAATTATGCAGTAGTTTTGATGCAAATAATTTTTTGATATAAAAAGATGTAAAAAATGTGAAATGTTCAAAATACCTAAAAAATTCCTTGTAGGTCTCAAATTATTGTCTTTTATCAACTTAAATTTATTTCAGGTCCATGTTCCCCTTATATAGTCAAGAAAATCCAAAGAAGTATTTGGGTGAACAAGTGCTATGTGAATGGAACTTGTGCATGTAAAATGGAAATAGCTGTATATCATAGCTAGCTACTTCTTTGTCTAATAATAGGCTCTTCTTGTTGTAAGTTAGTGTTGATATGGCTTATTGATCATAAATGCAATGTCATTTCTTGAGTTCTGTGAGTAGTTAGGCTGTATATGCAGTAGGAAATTCAAATGTGCAGGCAGGTTGTGTTGTAAATAAACAAGTTAGTGCTTGTTTGACTTACTTAATCTTAACAGAATAAAAAGCATCAAAACTGTTTTATTGCAAAACATGCAGTGTTTACTCAGAATTGGTTTTTTTCCAAAGTTACTCTCTTACTTTCATTGCAGAAATGGCTCTTATCTTCTGAACTCTTCCAGCTCTCTTTCTCAGTTCATTGGCATAATTTCCTAAAGTAATACTTCAGAGAATCCTTCCGGCTATCAAAAGTTGTGTGTAGTAAATCATGTAGTGCAAGTGTAGTTGAGTGAAGGATTTTTTAAAAATTAAGAAACAGTATCTTAAGTTATTCTAAAGTCTAAATTTGTATCTATATGTATTCTTCATGTAAAACAACAAGTACATTTTTATAACAAAAGAGGTCAAGTCTATGAGTGGTGCAGATGCTGTAAACAAAACTATAGGAGTCACAGCATTTACTCTGAAGAAAGTTTCTAGGGCTTTATATTAAAATTAAACTTCTTCATATCTGTCATAAAGTAGTAAACATTCTTGCAACATGATGCTTGATTTTATTTTTTTTCCCTCCCTAATAGTAATGTGGATTTCGACTTGAATGTAAACAATGTGATTGGTATAAGAAATACATTCCTTCTGAGAACCTATGCATTCAGTAAGTTTTTATTGTATTTTCTTATTTCTTTAAACTTTGCTTTTAGAGTTTGTATTTTAGTATTGATATGCTATGAAAATTTTATAGACTGCTATATATATATATAAACTACCTGTTTTACTACATTGAGTAGCTTTAAGGTGAGTTCTTGTTGCTCATTCTAAATACATGGAGAAAACAGCTAGGTATGTTTTTAACTGAATATTATAATATTCAGAAGATAACAAAGATACTTCAAATTAAGGTCCACATATCTACTACAAGGGCTACTTCAGGTATTCTGCAGATAATAAGAACATGATAGTACTGGTTATCTAGGGGTATAATCTCCAGCTTCTTATATTTCCTTACAGCCAATTACTGTATGGATGGCTGATAGCCAGCTATGTTGATACGCTGTTGCAGAATCTGTCCTAGAAAAATCCAGAATACTGCTTCAGTATTTATACTAATCTCAAATCCAAATTGGTTTGTGTCTGCTCAGAAGTTTGCATTTTAGGGAGAGATTGTGAAACTGCCTTGTGGAAGGAAAGTAATAACAACTGCGCTCTTAGCGGTAGAATGAGGGTTTCTTTTTTATCATTACAATGTCATTTGGCAGATAAGTACATAAAGGAGTATGCCTCAGTCATTTTCTTCTAGGGCATTTGCATTTGTTCCTTTACCGCCTTCTTCAGAAGTCTTCACCTTCTTGCATAAAGGAATTTCTTTCTATTTAGGGTAGGCAGTTACCTGTAGAAGCTATCTTCACTGGTTAATTTTTACTAATATATCAGTCAGAGTAATTTGTGTTCCATATTCAGGTCACTAGGAGAGTCTACAACTTGTCCTGGATCAGTTGGTTAACTGTGATTTCTTCATACATTCAGGGAGGTGTTATGACTGGAAAAGGATTTTCTTCCAAGTTTGAAAGTATTACGAAATAATCATTGCCATTTATGACTGCAAATGAGCAGTCACTTCACCAAGTCTATTGTTTACATTTTTGCTTGCAGCTTCCATCACTGGTTGTCTTTACTCTTCTTAGAAAACCATTGTAGGGCAGACAACTCCAGATGTGAAAGGAGAAGTGAAAGCAGTCCTAGTATCCCATCTTTTTTTTCTGTCTGCTGTAGTGCTCACTTTTATATGGCCAGTAAAATTAACTTCGTGTTTCCTGGTGATGGCTAACATTTTCTTGAGGTTAAGGAGTGAGTTAGTAGCGAAGGGAGACTTTTGATTGAAAATATTATCTTCTCAATGTTCTGGACCTTCCTAAATAGACTGTATTATACAGCATACAGCTTGTCTGGTCTTGTCTTCCTTGGACCAGAAAACTCAGGTGTCATAAGGCACACAAAACTAAATGGAAGCTTTTATCAGACTGTCTTGCTCCATACTTTTATAAGTCATATGAGCAAGGGAGGATAACCTTATATGTTAATACATGTCCTGCTCACTTAAATGTGTAGTTGAAGGGCCTCAACCTGCATGGGGGGAAAAAATTATCTAATTCCGTCTAATGTGGAAGATGTACTGGTCTATTTCCCATTGGAACAAATTAGATGTTCAGGCAAACAAGGTAGTCCGACTATCATAGTGAACATGCTAAAAAATAAAAAAGCTGAAACTCCAGAAATTTCTATGGATGCTCTTCTGTCTGTTTTGAAGTTAATTCATTTGTGTTGGTGCATGAGTGCTCTAGAAAACATCAAGGATGATGAGGCAAGGTGACACAAAATGATCACAGAAAATGTAGGTAGATTAGACAGAGCTAGAAGGTGAAATCTGTGCTGTTATGTTACCAGCGGTTTGTTGAAGGGGGCATGTCTTCATGGGCAGCAATTTTTGCTAGATATTTTTCAGTTAGTGGAAACCGGACTTTTTAGCTTTGTGCAAATAACATTACTGAGTACTTCCTTGAGGGGTAGCTTGTGTCAAAGTATCAGACAAAGTTCACTGGCCATACTGAACACTAATTTTGTTATATGCTAATTACAGGCACCAGCAGACAGAATTTATTATCTCAAAATGAGGTTGACTAAAACCAGAACTTTTCTACTGTGACACAAAATAACTATGTTTGAAAATGGAACCTATTTGCATTTTTCTCTCATGAAAAAATTTTATTCCAATTAATGCATCTTCATGTGGTGCCTATACAGTACTTTCTTGGCATTTCACAATTAGTGTACTAAGTTGTATTTTTTAGTTCAGCCACTGGTGAACAATGTCAAGAATAAGCTGATTAGTGATAAGGAGCTTGGTTGTTTCCAAAACATCTTCCAGATCTAGTAGCACATTCATTCTTAGAAGAGTAACATGGGCATGTGTGCTGAACTACTCTGAACATGTTGTGAGAAAATCATGCTTGATAATTTTGCAGAATAATGGAGAGCACCCCAGGTGGTGCAGTTGTAGGATGTTGTGTGTCCTGGTAAGCAGAATACAAAACTTTGTATAATGATGTCAGGTTAGAAAAGATACTCCAGAATGTGTAAGCTTTTAAAGCCATTGTAAGTTACTTGACTGAATTGATGATCTGCTTCTGCATAGCTGCAAATAATAAAGTATGCTGCTGAGTTCCAGGAACTTGTGGTGAGTGATGTATACCTACAATAGATTAATACCGTAATTAGAAGGTCATCTATATTCACCAGAAATTCAGATTGTACCTGGAATATGGCTGTATTTCCTTATTAAATGCATATATATTAATTTAAAGAGATATTGTATCTAACATGTCATCTATATAAAAAGCTGTTGAGGACAAGGCAAATTTAAAATTTATGTTTGTATGCAGGAGTTACTGCTGTCATGTATCTTGATGTAAACTTAAGAATCAGCTGTGTCCTCCAGCCACCAGAATTCTTTTCCCTGCCTTCAAAGTTTGTATAGCCTTAATAAAAAAATTGCTTAAGTTCTGTCTTGGCAGCAAGTTATTTCAGGTAAAATTAGTACAATGAACTGGAGAGACCTTAGAAGTAGAAAGTGACACTTTGCAAATTTCCTGGTACACCTCTTGTAATGTGTCTGTAGATCTTACTGCTCAAAAAGTTGTTTTCAAATGCAAATATTTTGTTTGATTTTTATAGGATGGATAGTAATTGTAGAGTAGCTAAGTAAATTCTATAAAATGCATGCAGAAGGTAACTTTAGAATACAAAACTACCATGTTGTTTAAATAAGAGCAAATGTTGATTAATTACTGTCTAGTTAAATGTACTTTTTAAAGATGTACTTTTTAAAGATGTGTTTCTTTCTTCTTGCAGTTGAGAATCGAGTTCGTCCATTAGTACTTGTTGTTAAGAAGTGGGCAAATTTTCGTGAGATAAATGATGCCAGTCGTGGTACTTTAAACAGCTATAGTCTTGTGTTGATGGTTTTGCACTATTTACAGAGTAAGTATTTTTCACATGTTGAAACTGTCGCTTTTAAGTTAATTTTTAGTTTTCCTCTTTAATAAAGTAGAACAAGCAGTGGCTATCTTCTGCACAGAAATATCTAAAAGTAAAGCGAGTTTGCATCATTTCCATAGTGTTGCATTTGTCTTTAACAAGTGGATCTGTTCTTTAGAGGCAAAATTACCAGCTTTAAAAAGGTTTGAAACAAAAAAAAAAGGACCTGCAGGACACTGTGTAGCTATAAAATAAACTCAAGTACTGGTATACGAAAGGACATAAAGCAATTTGTAGTATCTCTGGCAGCTGCCACAGCAGTCTAGGAAAGGGGAAAAAAGGGTTCAAGTAATCCTTGTAGTGCACAACTGTGATCGGTCAGCTGTTTCAGGAACACCAGTCCACAAACCAAAGAGGAGCCTTCTACCTGTGCTTCCTCAGTCTTTTCGAGGGGAGAAAAAAAGGCATGAAAAAAAGGTACTTGAAGTGTGGCCCTGTACACTGTAAATGCATCTAAGCACCAGATTCTTAAGTTCTGTTGTTTTTTTTCATGCACATTTTAATCTTTTTTCCCCTGCTATATGCTTGTGATGTTCCTGAAAATAGCCTGTATCCTAGAACTTCTGATAGTGTTGTTGTTGATGACACTGTGGAGGGGAAAAAAAACACCTTTCTTTTCACTAGTGTCCCTGCCTTCACTAGGCAAATTTCTTTTCTATACTACTTAAATAATTTACATATTTTTATACTAATGTAGATGTCTTTGGACCCAAGTTTAGTGTGGCTTGAGTTTATTTTGTAGATACATCAGTATTTTGTACATGAGCTTCCTTCCAGATAATATGTCTAACTAACTTGAACAGTAAGAAAAAGAACCTCATAGGGCAAATGCTATTGGTAAGTGGTAATTTTTCCCATCCCATCCATCCTCTTAGTAAAGCTTACTAAAGCATACACACCTAGATTCAATACCTTGATTGTTTGTATTGCTCAGATTTTGTTGTCTTTTAATTTAGTGTAGTAGACAACTGGAAAGTATCCAAGATGTTGCAGAAACATGAACACCCAAAACCAAAATAAAAATGTTATTGGAGCAGCTATGATAATTTCCTTAGCAGTCCTGAATAGTATATTCTACTACTTGAAGCACATTCTGAGAATTCTGCTGTTCTGATTCTTAGTCCGTATGGAAAAAGGAGTCTGTAACATCTCTTCACCTGTAAGACCTTACTGAAAGGTGAACTAAGTCCCAAGTCCAACACTTACGTGCTGAATTTATTTATTATTTTCCCTAGTGAATGATGTAGACCAGTTTCTTAAACCATGCTGAAGACATGATGTTAAAGCTTTAGTATGAGGACTGCTCTGACAATTCTATAGCTGCTTGGGTAGGATGTGAATACTTTTGGATTTTGGTCCATCTATAGGATCACCTAATATGGGTGATTTTTTTTTTTTTTTTTGTCTCTAATTTATATAGTTCAATAGATGCACTTCCAACCCATGTTTTCCATAAAAGTGACCAATATTTAGATAATTTTGTGTTTGTTGGTATTGTTAATGACTGCATGATCTTCATAACATATTTGCCATTTAGCAGACCAGCTAACGCTGTTAGACTGCATTAATGTATTTTGTGGAGATTTTGCTAGCAATGCCTGCTATGTGTGTTGAGCATTTTTTTTATAGGTTACATTTGGAGTATGTAAAACTTGGCAGCTGAAAAACGTGTTCTCTTGCAATAACTGTAGGCTCGTTCATAGAATTGTATTAGATGTATGGAAAAAGAGATGAGTGAAGCTTTAATTTTTCATTTAGGGAGTTTAGATGATTCTCCTATAGCCATGAATTAATATGAGTTTCAGAAATAAAGCTGTACCCAGCTGCTGTAGGATTTTTCATGCCTTTTAATGTAGTAGTATCTTGGTAAGAACTTTCATTAGCTGAATGAAGTGCCTATACTACTCTATAGTATGAAATAACAGAAGTGTTTGCCAAATAACTTATTTGACAAAATATATGAAAGTGAAGTTCTTGATAAATGTTTTAAGATGGAATTTCAGTGCAACTCTTTGATGTAGTTGATATGATATTGTTTCCTGTGAATTACATTAATCACAGCAACTTTAAACTTTTTTTTATAGCCTTACCTGAACCCATCCTTCCATCCCTCCAAAAAAACTACCCAGTAAGTGTTTCTTATGGATTTACTACATCATATATGTGTGTGACCCTGCTTGTCTAAATATATGTATTCTTAACGATCTCTAATGGATTAACAGTCTGTAGGTCAGATCATTGATATGCTAGACCTGTCTTAACAGTAAGATGAAGAGATTACTTGCTGCTTTTGATAATTTCTTCAATGAAAATTCTGTTATGTATGGGAAGATTTGAGACACAGAAGAGACTGCTGATGAAAACTGCTGATCTAATTTTCTTTATGCTGGCCTGGAAATATCCCTATGTCAGCTGTAACTTTCTGGTTCCTATTTCTTGATGTGTTAACTAGTGCTTTTTCATTCAGCTCTGGTGCTTCAGACTTCCCTACCCTCCCACAGCTGTTGAGTTGCCTGGTATTTTCATGTGCAGAAAGTGAGTGACACATGTTTACTTAGAAACTTGAGACATCACAAAATTTTACTTCAGTCCAACAAGAAAACACCTTTTTGGAACTTTGCTATTGTAGTCAGATCATACTCAGATAATTTCTGGAGAACTCAGTGAATCAGTATGCTTTGGTGCCTCCAGGATTAGGAGTGTCATTAGTGAGATTTAATCTAAGAAAAATTATCTAGAAGTAAGAGCTGCCCTTCTAAATATTTGTCTGTGCACAAAAGTGCTATTGCTGAGTAGTTCCATGTTGTAATTTATTTTCAAAAATTCCTTGGTTCCTTCCTCTTTACCCATCTTTATATGTGTCACTTAAATTTTTTCCTTATTCACACTTGACATAGTTTGGTGTTCCTGTCTACACATGGGGATTTTTTAATTGGTTGCTGACAATTGTGCTGAGCTAGTATCAGAAAGCCAGTCTGCCTTTTGCCTGTATTTCCCATAGAGCTGAAATGGGAATATTTAATGGTCCTGAACATCAGGGAGAAAATACTGTGGTGTCAGCCATTTTGGGTAATTAAGATAATTGAGATGCAGGAGAAAGCACTGAGCAATAATTCACTGCAGTTTTGTTTCCGTGTTGTAAATGTGCTTAGGGATACCTGTGCTATGTATTTATGGTCTTTACCTTTTCCTGTGATTTTTTATGATACTCTGTACCTTCTAATTGTTTCATTGGGAATGCTGGAAAGCCTTTGAAACTATCTTTCATTTCTTGTACACTTAGCTTTATAGGCTTTTGAATTGCTAGATTTGTTAATTACATTTCCTTAAACCTTGTGTGCTGCAGTGTTCTAAGTTTTGTGTCACATGTTATTATAGAGAAAAGTGCTAAGAACTGGCAACTTTTGACTCTTCTATATTTATAATGCAGGCATTTATATTTGTCGTGTTTGAACTGTGTACAGGCCTTCAGAACAATATACAGATATTAATGCCTTCAATCATTAAAGCAAACTTATACAGTGTCTTAAGGTGAAAAATCTAATGATTATCTAATGATAAATGCCAAGTTTTATTTTGTGTTGTGTGAAAATAGTAAATCATTTGCAGGTGAGCAGTGCTGTAAGAACTGCATTTTTTCTGTGTTCTGATATAGATTATGTTTGGTTTTGATGTCCTTTGTTAGTTAGTTCTCTTATATTTGGAAAATGAAGTATTCTAGACCTGCTAACAAAATTAAGAAAATATTTTATATATGCTTGCTACAAAACAAAATTGCAAGTATGTTTTTGATTTACTGTCTTCATTATGAATATAATTAAATGTTTAAAAATTACAAAACTTTAAATTTCTGAATACTGATATTTGAAAGGAATTTAAAATGAAAAATACAGCAAAACAATTTCAGTCTTGTGGCTTGCAGTAATGATAAAAAAAAAACAGGCAAATTTCAGTATCAAAAGTAACCATATATTTTTCTTGTGATTGTAAGATCACAAGAAAAGTGATCAGAGTTTTGTCTCCATACAAAAACTACACAAACATACTGCATCTTTCCTATATACACCTACCCACAGTTTTTCAAAATCAGATCTGCAGGCTGAAAATACTTCTGTGATCTGGAGAAAACTGCTTGTCTTAAATTGTTGGTACCATAGAGGAGAGATATGCTTACACTGAGGAGGAAACAAAAACAGATTCTGTGTCTCAGTGTATCCCTACTGCCAGTGTGAAGGGTGAGAAGTCCTGGAAAACCACTTTTGCATTGTATTGCTGTGAGGGAGTTTCCAGCTCTCACCAAACTGATGTGTTTTGCAACCATTAGTTTAGAGGGAGTATCAGATGACATCAAATGTGAGGGTGTATTCTGGGGCTTCCCTTGCCCCTTAGCCAGGTAAAGTAGATGACAACAGCCCAAGTGTTCATTAGTTTTGGAAGTCTATATAATACGTGCTTTCATGTCAGGACTTCACGGACAAGCTCTAGATAACTTGTGGTGGCATAAACTGTTATGGCTGGTGAATATTGCTGTCACTGGCACTAAGAAGGAAACTTGTGCCTGACTCTCCAGTGTTGAAGAAGTCTGGTGTATTAGCTGAAGTCAAGAAGAAACTGGTTTTCCATCAGTGCTCTTAATGGTGAACTTCAAAGACTCTAGCAAGAGCACATCTTTGTTTCTGCTGCCTCAGCTTCATGTCACGTCTTGCAAGGGGTGGAGCAGAAGGTGGAATGGTCCTTAACATGGGAGTCAGCCCTTGGAAAGACACAGTTTGCTTCACACTGAGTTGCAGTTTTAAAAGATATAAACATGAGTTAAATATCCATTTATAGGACTGGGGAAAAGGATATTTTATATGTGAGAATATACAAGAATATCAAGACATTATGCTGATGTTACTACTAAATTTTTTGAATGAAGAGCTTGTACATTCAGAGCTAAACTCACTCTACATCAAGATACACAAATATAAATTTTATTTTCATGTATACTTGCAGTCCTTTCTAGTGTGTAAGGTGGAATGAGCATAACTTAAAAGCATTATGTAGCTTCAGTATAAAGCATGTTGCTGAATACTGGTGTTGTTTGAGAAATCAGCCAATCAAGGTAAAGATTTGAGGTCCAGCAAAAAAAGAAAAATATTTTTGTGTCACTTTTCTGGCATGTCTTGAAATAATGGGGAGCTCATTTGTATTTGTTGCTCAATTAGATCCTGAATCTAATTTCTGTTTCTTAAGACAGCTTGAAGCAAGACACAGTAAGCAAAATAGGGACTAGTTTTAATAGAAGCTGAATCTTTGCCTTCTAGAGCAAATTAAGAATTTGAAGGGTGATTTGTAATTAATTTCTTTAAAAAACTTCACCTGTGTGCAGATTCTGTAAGCTGTACCTGTACTGTTTTGTCTATCTAGTTATTCCCTGTGTCCCTCTAGCAGGAAGGAAAATACTGTTACCCTATTTTTCAGCAGGTGAATGAGATGAAGCTAGGGGATTTTATCATGGTTTGTCTGTGGCAAAGCAGAAAAGGGTATCTAGGTATCCTGTAGCTGGTCTGACCTCTTGTTCACTGGACACTGAATGATTGCTTTGTTTAGAAATGACCTTAAATTACATTGCTGGTAATTGAATTATTGAATATTGATATATCTTGACAGAAGCCTTCACTAAAACTTGCCAATTTTCAGTAGCAATTAATTTGGTTTTACATGTTAAACTTTCTAATATGGTAATAGCAACTTTTTGCATAATAAATTTTCTGTATTTCAGAAAGATGAAACACTGGGTTTTGCCTTCTCTGTGGGGTGATCAGCAACCGACAGTGCTTAAGAAATAAATCTATTAACAGTATCACAAACACGTGATTAATACATTGCTGTAATTTCCATTAATAAGTCTTATTTTCTTCCAGAAAAGTAGTATCAGTTATGCCTTCTATTATGCAATACTCAGTTGTCTTTTTAAGAGCAATTTTCATAGTGACATAACCACTAAACTAAGTGGAAATAAGAATTACTTACATGTGTCTCTTAAACTGGGTGGCTGGGTGTTTTAATGGTTAGCTGCTATAGATTGTAACCTGTGTTTTCACTAGAGCACGTGTCTAGAATAATATGTGTGATTTTCTTGGAAGCGGAAGCCTTTCTAAGGAAGAAAAACTTTGATTTGTTTGATATCTTATTGCCTGCCAGTAAAAAAATAGCATGTTTTTTGAAAAAAATAATAAAATAAACTCTAACTTTTTAGCTTCTGAGGGTATCAGCCTCACTGTGATGGCAGAATTTTTTGCAGTTGAGAAGTTCTCAGGCATTTAAATATTCAAAGTGTAAAAAAATTAATCTTGTTCTCATTTTCTACTGCCTCCAAACACTTACTAGTCTTTGTAGACATCTGTTGTAATTTTATTGCATTTCTGTTTTGTATTTTTGTATGTATGTTTCTGTTTTGTACTTTGTAGGTTATTTTCTTCTTCCTTTCCCCTTCTCCCTTGTATGTTTCTTCACCAGCTGGTTTACTGCAAATTCCAAATTCAGTTGTTCTGTCTCTAGCTCTTCCTTAGCTTTCTGTGGGGATGAGCAAGGAATGATTTTCACTGTAGTATCTTTCTGATTTACTTCAGGGTTAAAACAGTATTTACTGTATGGCATTGGAACAACTGTTCCCTTTCTAGATCTTTGTATACTGCAAATCTGCTTTTAATGTCTGTGTTTCCAGTGTTTTGGTGTCTTCTGATGAAAGAATTTAAGATACTAAATTCTGATCCTTGCTAACTCAAATAATGTTTTATATATAGCATTATATCATATGAGATCAACTATTGAAATTTTTTATCTCTAGAAGAATGGCCTTTTTTTCCCCAAAAAGATGTTGCACAAGGTTCCAGGAAGTTTTACTAAAGCTGGCAGAAAGAGGGTGGGAATCTCAAACTTTCCAGTCCTACTGGTTTTAACACTTAACTGTACTTTTCTCAGAGGAAGCAGTGCCAGCTGTGGATAGGGGAATAATGCTACAGTACGTAGTGCTTCTAGTGCTATTCTAGTACTGAAAGTTTGAGTCACGCCTGATACTACTCTTAAAAATAAAAAAGTAATGGGTGAGGAGGGAAAAGGAGATACAGTAATGAGTGAACAGATTCCTAAATTTACATAAATGTGTTTCTTTATGTGAACATAATGTTTGCTTCTGTGTATCTTGAATTTATTTTCAGTAAAATACCTAACATTACTGTAAAGGGTGTTAAAACCAGGTATTAGCAAATTTTAAAAAATCTTGCTTTAGCAAGAGGAGATATGTTTACTTCTATGCTCCCCAGTCTGTCAGAAGAATCTAAAAGATGCGATGGACAATGAAACAGCAGGGCAGTTCTAAAACCATTGTATTTAGTCTTGTATATATTCCTTTTTAAGTTGGAAATAGTGCCTTTTTTACATAGCAAACCTGATTTTTTTCCTACCCCATCGTACCCACCGTGTTCCCCTACAGAAAAACATGCTTTAGCTGAAGTGCAGTAGTCCGTGCATTCAGGTGTTTTGTATAATTTCACTACTGGTTGTTTGTTTGGCTTTTTCATTCTTAGCTAAAGAAATTATACCTGCACTCTTTATGCTTGTTTTGTGGGTGGATGCAGGTTAATTTTATAGCCAGTGGGTTTCATATGCAGTTTTCTATGCTTGAGAGCAAAGTTAGGCCTACCCTCTGGATTATTTCTTCGGTTTAGCTATGAGAAATTGATAATGGGTGCATTAATTTCAACGACATATTTCTCAGCTGAACTGCAGTCAGCTCAGTGCAGACTACCTTACTCAGCTTTTGCTCTTGTGGTTTTAGATGCAAGTCTAGTTCGAAGATTCTCACATGTTAAAGTTATTTAGTAAACAGAAGTCAAAAGATGGTCTTGTATGCTCCTGTGCAAGATGATTCTACCAGAGCTCAGGGGGAATAACTAGTATCAGTGGGGCAGAAGAGAAATAGTACTTGGCTTGTAAGTTGCCCTTGAACTTACAATAAGCAAACAATAGGCAGCTTTCTTATTGTGGAAAATATATGCATCTGGGTTAAGGCTCTCTGTGTGTATATATATATATACACTCTGATTTTATTTTGACAGGAATGTTTTGATCCTACTATGCAGTTGTATCTTGTTCATCAAGCTCCACGTACCATTCCTCCTTACATCTCAAAAAATGGATCAAGCCTTGGAGATTTGCTAATAGGCTTCTTCAAATATTATGCCACAGAATTTGAGTAAGTAATAAGCTCATTTTAGTAGTTTAGAAGATGTGAAACTTTGATTCCTTCTATTCAATATAGCATCACTTTATAACCCTTGAAAGAAAGAAAAGCAGCAATGCATCAGTGGTAACTGTGAGAGAGGAAATGAGTAAAAAGGCTGAATTACAACAGGAATGCCAGTAAATTGTCTGATATCTTCTGCCTAGCTGGGCATTCTATCCTGTAAAATGTCTGCCAAAAGTTAGAGAGCTTTGTCCTTTAAAAATTGCTGAGATTTGTCATACAGTTACACTATTCTATAACTGCCTGTGAAAAAGGTCTCTTCTTAGCTGTTATTTAAGGTGTCAACTGGGATATGAATTATTTGGACTGTAAGATTGTTGTGCTTGACTTTTGTCACATTGTCTTGAGTCAATGGAGGTAACTGGCCAGGTGGTTCCTTACTTTGACCAGAATATACATCTGTATAGGCCTCACCTAGTGAAAAATTCTCCCATGTATAGTTTTTTACAGTCACGTTGTTGTTTTGCTAGAATCTGAGTTTAATTTTGGCATCTGGACTTCCTTATATAGGAAGAGAAGCTAAAGTTGTGAGGGCATCTGAGAAAGCCTTAAGTTACAACTGGTTTGTCAAATTATTACTCATGTATTTCTGAATTTCTTAGAAAAAATGTTTGTTCATATGAAATACCAAGTGGCTGTATCTCAATCACTTTAAAGATGTTCTAAATAACTTCTAAGGCAGTTGTTTCAGGAGTGTTGCTGTCTTGTGTATGTGCACCATTTCCATTTATTGGAAGGAGAACAAAACATGCAATTGGATACTCATAATTTTGGAAGTGTTCATAATTTACTTTAAAATAAGAAGTGAAAGACCATAAAGTCATTAAAGCATTTCTGAGGTGTATATCTGAAATATGTAAGCTAAATCTTTATGGCCTTTAGTAATGCATAAACCAACTGCATTTTGTGCCTTCTTAAGCCTTCCTGAGAGATTTTCATGTAAGAGATTTTCTTTCAATGATCTCTGCAGATAGGAGAATAGGCTTTTGTCTTAAATGTTTCTTCCGAGTACCGGTCTTTTCAGTTGACAAGGTGATGTTTGCTAGAGAGGCAAATGAGAAGACACTTAGGTTCTTAATTTATGTGGGATACTATGTGAATCTTTTTGTAAACTTGACTGTACAAGCTGTTAATCTTTTATATGAAAGTAAGTATCTTTTCCACTAAGGAATTTTATGGTTTGCCTGTGTGAAGTAGCAGAGATTATCTTGTCCTCAGGAAAAAGACCTAGTTTGACTTTCCTGGGTTTGAGTGCTTGTGAATATAGTCAAGACCAGATTTCTGCCTAAGTTGGTGGCTGGCTCAGAATGACCTCTTTTTCTCTGCTATTAGACAGGATATGCTAAGACATATGCAGACCAGAAATTCTGCAATATTAGTGTTGGAGCTGATGGCAATCCCTAAATACTGTTTTTGTGATGATTATAAATCCTACCTCAATTTATTCATAGTCACACAGAGGAGCTTCTGGGTAAAACAAAGCTTGAAAAAGTAGATATTAAAGACAGGATAGTTGCTGATGTCAAAGGAAGAAAATGTTTCAAAAAACAACTGAATAAAAAGACTGTCTGGTGTTCTTCTAGTGTTCAGTATTTGTTAAGTATTTGAACATTTCACTTGTGATAGTCTTTTAAAAAAAAAAAAAAACCAAAAAAAACCCCAGTAAAAATAGCCATTAGAATTCCTGTGTTGAAAATGCTACTACATAGCTGAGAAGTTATTTGAGGATATGATGCACTTCATGCAGCAGCCTATATTATTTTTAACCCTTTCTGCTACAGAAATAAGATTTAATCAAGTGTACTCTGTATCTGTGTATCACTGAGAACTATAAATCCTGTAATAGAATTGATAGTAAAATTTCATATAGTTTCATTGACTGGAGAAGACAAATTTGTGCACCATAGGGAGAAATATGAATAAGGTGTTTAAAAGGTTCTGTGTGTGTGATAGCCGGCTAGTGAAAGTAAAAGTAGTCTCACGCTAGCCACAAGATCTGTTATATTTGCTTTGAAATTGCTGATGGAAACAACAGTACAAATGAGAATGAGGGTAAGAATTAAATACATAGAATCACAGAGTCATAGAATGTGCTCAGTTGGAAGGGAACCATCAGGATAATTGAATCCAGCTCTTGGCCCTGCATGGGATCATCCCTAGGATTCACACCACATGCCTGAGAGCATTGTCCATACACTTCTTGAACTCTGTCAGGCTGGTGCTACGACCACTTTTCTGGGTAGCCTGTTCCACTGCCCAACCACCCTCTGGGTGAAAAATATTTTCCTAATATCCAAACTAAGCCTTCCCTGACTCATCTTTATGCTGTTACCTTAAGTACTGTCATGAGAATGAGCAGATTAGTGTCTGCCCCTCCCCTTCCCATCATGAGGAGGGTGCAGACTGCAATGGGGTCTCCCTGTCTCCTTTTCTCCAGAGCAGACCAAACAATCACAGCTGCTCCTCATACGGCTTCCCCACAAGGCCCTTCATGATCATTGTGGCCATGCTTTGGACACTCTCCAATAGCTTCATGTCTCTCATGCACTCTGGCACCCAGAGCTGTCCCCAGCACTCGAGGTGAGGCTGCCCCAGAGCAGAGCAGAGCAGGACAATCCCCTCCCTTGCCCGGCTGATGCTGTCCCTGATGCCCCACAGGACAGGGATGGCCCCCCTGGCTGCCAGGACACTGCTGGCTCGTGTTCAACTTGCAAACGCACACAGCACAGGGCACTTTTAGTTGTGCCTTTCATGTAAGAAGTAGTGTTAGAGTGTGTTGAATATTTTCTTTCCTGTAGTAAGTAGTTTCTTCAGTGTTTGTTTTCTCTGTGAAACATTTCCTAGTGTCTTCATGCACCAAAATTTTGAGATTATATTTCAGACACCATGACTGTTAAATGAGGCTATAATTATATGATCTGTACTGGACCACTGAACTTTCCCTGTTGGACTGTCACATGTTTGATGAAAAGGTTGCTACAGAGAGTGAATTCAATTTTTGCAAAAGTAATTTTTGTACCCTTTTATCTGTGGATTAGGATGCACTACCAGATTTGATGTACAGGAGCTGTTTTGCTAAAGGAACAGCATGCAATCAAGAATGATCAGATCATGTATAAAGATCATAATTTTGAACAGAATAAGTCATTGAAGCCACCTGCCTAGAATATTTAACTACTGATCTCTTTTACATGTAATGGTGAGGAAGATAAGAGAAGATGGAGATATATTGTTTTAAACTTCTCCCTCACTCTGGCAAAGGCCACTAGATCTTCAAGCAATGGTCATTAGGCCATTTAGTTAGAATCTGTGATTTATTTTACTTGATGTAGGACAGGATGGGCTTAAAGAGTGTAGCAAAGGAAGATAAAGGAGCTTTGCATCCTGTGTAGTCATACATAAGTCCTTGTGCTGTGTTTATTTTCCCTTATACTTTTAAACTGTTTTGTTTATTTATGCTGTAAGATGTTTCAGAAAATTGTTTATTGCCATGTATTTATAAAGAACCTTTTCCACAGTCCTACTCTAGGGTTTTCAGTGTGTCCATAAGAAGTAATTTTTATACCCCTTCATCCCTGCCTCCAAAGAAATGTGATTTGGAAATTGCAGCATGCATTAGAATAACACACCATATATGGCAAAGCTTGTTTTGCCTTGTTGTTTAATTATCTCACCATAACGAGTTCAAGTCTGTGTAATGCTTCTTACAATACAGCTGGCTATGGTTATGACTTCATTTTAACTTTAACTGTTTAAATTGTCTCCTGATTAAGTAATGAATGTGATCAAGAAAAAAATTGTAGATGCTCTCCAAAGAAAGTATTTGGTGTGTTTACCAGCCCCTCTGAAGGAGGTGTCTGATTTCAATTCTGCAACTGTGAGTGAAGGCAGCAGGTTTTCACTTGGCTGTCTCCTTACAAAGTAAGACCTTAAAGCAAGGTGCTGCTCCCCTTGCAGGGGATTGCAAAGTATTTTGATTACTTCCCTTAAATTTTCCATTGCAGGCTAAGTAGAAGTTGTTTAAGATCATTCACTGATTTGTATATGGTGGACAATTAATTTACATTCTAATGACAAAATATAAAATTTCAGTGAGAAGATGCTTGCAATACTTTTCACTATAGAATTGGTCAGGTAATAAAGGGATCATTTTAATACTACGTTGAATTAAATATGTTTGCAGCTTGTACCCATCTTATTGTGTTTATACAGGTGGCTTTAATGTGTAAGAATGCTCTGGAAAGGATAAGCCTTTTATTCTGTTAGTACTGTAGTCATACACACACCTGAAAATGCCTAGTCTTCTTTCAAATATTTGCCTTTGCCATGAAGATCACATACCTAATGTAGTCAGTCACAACAGAAATAACTGATAATTGAAATAGCTATTTAAATGGCATTGGTAACTTTATGGATTGAAAATATGTGCAGGGAGAATATCTGTTTTATGTTGGCAACAATGAAGTTATTAGATGCGAGCCGAAGTGGCTAAAATTGACACACAAATAATTTGCTATTCATAATTAATTTCTAATTCAGTATAATCTTGGTACCAAGACAACTTTGCAAAGACTGTCAGATAAAAGAGTTGTTTTCAAATTCAAATTTCAATTTTAAATAAAAAGCTTTTAAGTTTCAAATTTAAATAAAAGTCTTTTTAAACAGCAAGAAATGCCACTTTTTTCTTGCTTTTTGTTTAACGCGTGTATTATAAAAGTGTTGTTGTGGTTTTTTTTGCTGAGGGATCAAGTATAGCCTAGGAAAAAAAGAATTACTGCTTCAAGTGAAACAGTACTGCCTGTATAGTATATATATATATATATATATATATATATATATATATATATATATATATATTACTGCCTGTAATTGCCAAATACAGAT